TTCCTCACGCAGGCTCATATTATCACACTTGACACACAAGACCCATTCCCCCCTAGTCTGCCACCGGGTCTCCAGTTTGACCGGCTCTTTCTATTCTTAGTACCTCCGTGTTCCTTTTCTCCCACATACTACTCTTATTCTGCCTTCTGTCTATCTTTCTCACTTTCACTAATGTACAGCTCTCACTAAGTGGTCCTGCAGCAGAAACCTGGTACAGTGAGGCGGAGTGTGTGTGTGTGTGTGTGTGTGTGTGTGTGCACGCGCGCAAAAGCACGGCAGTGATTTTTTGTGCTCTTGTATGCCAGTGTGTGTCATGTGTCTGTGTACTTTGCTCAAATTTGTTTTGAAATGCAACTCTATCCAAACCTGAACTCCCCTAATGGGCAAAGGATTATATCATCCAGAACCGTGTGTGTGCATCTGTGCGAGTGTGTGAGAGAGTGAAAATGGCAAATACAATAAACACAAACACACCAACACACACTCTATAATGCTGGCCAGCAGAGCCAGGAGCAGAGTGAAGAATGGTACCTGTCAGGAGAGGAGGAGACAGGAGAGAGGAGAGATAACGAGAGACTCAGAGAGGGGGAGGAGGAGTAGAGAAACGATAGAAAGATTAGGGATACATGAAAGAAGTCTAATCGAAATGAGGGAAGGTAGGAGGGATTGATGAGAGGAGGTGGTGAGGCGATATGAAGGTGTAGAGGGAGAGCAGGGAGAGACACCAGACAGGATGATGAAGAGCAAGAGAGAGCGAGAAAGAAAGGGATGGACAGACGAACCGGGAGGGAGGAGAGACCGAGCCAAACAGACAAGAGCAATAGACATCTGCAGCCCCACAGGCAATACAAGGAGGTTCTCCACCTCCAAGTGAGAAACACACACTGTGTGTGTGTGTGTTTTATGAGTGTGGAGGGGAGTGAATACGTGCCTGTAATTGCAAATGGAAAGTGACAGAGTAAGTTAGGTAAAGGGGAAAGACAGAACAACTTGTCCTCCTTATATTGACTAGCTCATGTTGCGATGTAGCTGAGTAAGAAGGAAAAAGGGAGGAAAACAGAAAAAAGGAGCGCAAGTTAAATGCAGAGGAAAGGAGACATTTGAGTGTCGGAAAACTTGTTCCAGCTGTGTACAAGTCATTGACAGTTTCAGCACTTTTAATAATGACACTAGACTGCCTCCTAAAGATTAGACTATTTTATTGTGATCAAACAAATAGAGCCGAAACCAATAAGTTAACAGTCAGAAAATGTAATGGCAACAATATTGATCAATCAATAGTTGAGGTAACTTCCTCTGAGCAAAAAATAACTTTCAGCTTCTCAAATGTGAATGTGTGTGTGATTTTTTTAGTCTTCTTTGAAGGTAAACTACATATTTTCATATTATGAACTGTTGGTCAGACAAAACAAGACATTTTACAGGGATGGTGCAGCATTTTGGAAATCAATCAACATAAAAAAAAAAAATTTAATTTGCTTTCTTGCCAAGAGTTTAAAACATCAATGCCACTCTCATATTAGTTGATGCAGCAAAAACAACAGCAGGTTAGCTTAGCACAAAGACTGGAAGCAGAGGTGAAACGGCTAGCCTGGCTCTGTCCAAAAGTAACTAAATCACATCAACACCTCTAAAGCTCACTATTTAAGTAGCTCTATCTTGTTTTATAATTCACACAAAAATTGGTGTAAAAGAAGTGTAAAATAAGAAGTTGCGGTTTTAAGGGAGGTTTTGTCCCAGACTATTTCTTGGCTGGGATCTCTTACTTCCTGGAGTCTGTGCTGGTTGCCTGGCAATGACAAGACCTAAGACACAGAAGATCTCTCAGCAGGACAGTGAAGAAGCGCATTCCCCAAAAATGTCGAACTATTGCTTTAATGATATCATCATAGGATTTAGGAACTTCTTATAGACCGTGTTCACTATTTGCTAAAATTTTATAGACCAAGCTCCCCCTGGTAAAGTGACGCATTTGTAAAATTTGTGAAAATGTTTGTTGACTTGATAATGTAATACTTACAAACACACACAGAAAGGTTTACTGTATGCTTGTAATTGTCAGAGAAAACATTAAAGCATCGCCTGTAGGCATCTGTTCATGTATGTTTCGTTTTGCTTCAGCAAATATACCCTCAAGCAAAAATAATAAGTAGCTTCAGAAATGACTTTTACCGTCTGGCAAAGAGTTTCAGCTTTTACACTGTTCAGGTGATATAATTACACTGTGGAGTGTACAGGAGCACCACAGTGTGACCAGGAGGATGATGATGGGAAAAGGACTGGCAGGTGTGCATTAGCCGACGGGTGCAGAATACATGACGGCATGTTACAGAACAGAAGATGAAAAAACAAAAATCCTTTCCCTGTCTGTTCTGCGGTAGCTCACCACTCTGCTGCGTACGTTTGCGTACGTTTTCAAGGTTCCCTCACCAGGCTGACCTTTTCTTTCAATTTCCCTCTTCCAGTGAACTGATCTGCACTTCACCGCACTCATCCATTATAAACAGAGATCACTGAGCATGAGCATAATTACACAATTGAATATTTCAATTGAAAGTGGACACTATTCTAATCAAATTGTACTAATGGGGCCAGTGATAGATCTTTGGAAAGTAGCTTCCATTTACATTTTAAAACACCTCACAAAATGAAGACAATTTGTAGAACTACAATCATCTTAGCTTTAAGAGTCCTCTGCAAAATGAACTCAGGGCCTCTATATGTTAGACAATCGACTCACAATACATTCCAAGTACGAAACACTAGAAGAAATCATCCTGACAATACTTGTACCCACCACTATTCTGCAACTCCTGCTGCTCTTTTGTGATTCACATACATTTAAAAGGTCTATGTACACATACGTAGACGCTGGCCTCTTTCAATACAGTTTTACATTTTTGTCTAAAAACCGATAACCCTACCTGGCGTCTGTTACTTTCTCATTCTGCAAGCTGCACATGTCCCTGTCTGTGATAACTGTCTTTACTGCAGCAAGCAGTGTGGCAAACATCTACTGTCACCAATTATATTCCCCAGCTACTGTACATACAAACTTCATGGCTGCATGATAGATGAGAGCCACAGGAGTGTTCTCTGACCTCAAACTTTCTCAACAGACTAATCAAATCAGCATTAATGCTGAGCAAAACTCAAGAGACTAAGGATATTTTTACACCCCTTCATTTTACTCAAGGTCCTTTAAACTGTGAACCAAGTCCATGGATTTTGGCAAATCTGGTGAATTTGCACTGGAGGCTCAGCAAGTACTGTGATGATTATACTCAGTTGCAGATCTGGTATTAACATTAAGCTATGAAACAGTTAGGTTTTTCATCATTTTAGGAAATATATTTTGACAAGTCACACCGTCTCCCGAGTTGCTTTTGATGTCGACTGCAAATGAAGTGGGAGCCAATGAGCCTGTAAGTCTGGGCTTTTCTTTCAGTTTTAATCAATTCAGAGACATCCTGTACAAATACCCTGATTTCTTAATTCAGGACATGGCACCCCTAAAAAGGCAAGTAATGAGAATTAATAAGCTTAGAAAAGTAAGCAATCACATTAATGCTAATCATTTTTATGCAAATGCTTTGATGATGAAACGCTAAAACGTTGTCGTTGTTTGTCTTTTTCATGGTCGGGTGGGGCAGCATGCTTGATAAATACAGTCCTGTAAAGTTCCTTAATGTTTTATACATTCCTTGGCCTGGAAATTAAGTCCTCTGACAAGCACAATCTTTCACCCACAGCTCTGAGCTTCAAAGATATGGCTTTTTCAGTGCTGTGGATATGTGGGAGCGCATGGTCATTATACATACCTTGGTTACTCTGCTTACTGTCAGTGCAGTGTGCAGCTTGTCTACTTTATATCTATATCTGACTTGCACACTCCTGCCTTATCGACAAGTCAACGGTGTGAGCAGCAATTGTCAAGCTAACAGGATACTACAGAGGGCATAGCAGGACCTGCAGGCACATTAAGACGACATTTGCTTGTGCAGTGAAGCCCGCCAAGTCTTAATTGAATTGATAGAGAGTATGGGGAGAGGATAGGGGAGGTTGGGGGAGAGGAACTGATGAGGAAAACAAGATAGGGGGAAAGAATATAAGAGAGAGGGGACCCGAGAAGGAAAATTGAGAGCGAGAGAACGGAATAAAAAGAGAGAGAAGGAGGAGGCAAAGTGATGGAAAATCCATGGAAGCATGTCTACAGCGAGAGAGAGCAAATCAAGAAAGATGGCTGGGGAATAAATGTGTGTAAAGCAGCTATGGAAAAAGAAAGGTGAAGAAAGAAAAAGCAACAGGGTGGCCTAATAAAGAAGGAGAATGCAAAGTGGAGAACAAAATAATTACACAGTGAGGGTGAACACGGTGAAAGAGGGATGAATCTATTAGTAAGCTGTGATGGTAAATAATGAAGGGAGGAAAACAAAGGAATTAATGAAAGATACTGAAAAACTAGAAGGCAGGATGGAGGTGAATTTAGGCAGAGAAAACAAATTGTTGACTGTAGAATTGGCAATAGAGCTCACTTTCCAAGACTAGGATTAATGTGCCTTTCAAGAAATCTACCCAAAACTAGCCTACTGCAGTTTCTACCCAAAATTAACATGGAGTAGGACAATACAAAACTCAGTATCAGTGCTGAATAAAACTCTCCCGCTGAAATAAAAGGGGAAGTTAAAAGTACCTGGTAAGTGAGTGAGTAAAACTGCCTAATACAGAATATGTACAAGTTGCTAGATTAGGAGGAGTAAAACTGTCCAGTTAAGGAAAGGGCAAAACTATAAAAGTTGAGGTGGAAGGTGAATACAGACAGCACAGAACAGTGCATGAAAGCGAAGAAAGAGGGACAGCTTAGCAGAGGCGCGAGAGATGCTAATGGAGGAATGAAGACTGGGAAAACATACAAGTGTTATCTTATACAAAGCAAATGTGCAGCATGGGTTCATCTGAGGCACATCAAGTGCCTCAGATGTTTTATTTTCATGTCTCACCTTAATGAGGTCTCCTAGTATTTTGTTGGCTTCAGCATAGGCTTTCTTCACCTCCTTGAACTTATTTCCCAGCCCCATACTGTGAGCCTGCAATGGACAACAGTGAAAAACAAATAACAGCATGAATGAGCAGAGTAAAAATTATCTTTTTTTTTTTTACTCCTTTTATGGAAAAAGTCAAGGCATTCTGGGCAATTCAATGTCAAACTGCGATATAAAGGCTATAATTTGTGTAGTGACACCCACAGCTTTTAAATTCATGACGAAGAGGCTTGTCTAGCCAAGGCCAGAAGGGCCAATACGATATCCCACTGTAAACTGTAATTTGGTACATAGTGCATTTGTTTAACACTCTAATATAAACAGGTCACAGCTGGGGTCCAGTAGTATCCACATATTTTTTCCAGTGGGTGCACAGCCATGTAGATTCAAATTCACTTTCACATTGTCCCTTTTCACAGTCTGTGCACAGCGTGAACACTATAGACTAGTGGTTGTACTTAGTGTTTCATACAGCATGATCAAACAGCAAAATGAGTTATTCAAGAAACATTTTTAGTCCGTTTCTAAAATGATGCCTCTGATGACTGCACGTCCTCGTTTCGTTTTAGTCCCATTTCTTGCATCTGCAGTAGCTTTTAACACACAAACATGTCCAAAAAAGTGTATTGGTAGAAAAAATGTTATTTAACAATATTGTTCTATTTTATACTTTTTTCAGAAGTATTTGATCGTAAGGTCTATTTTTCTGCAGAATATTATGTTTTTAAAATTTAGACTGTACATGAAAAGTTGGACAACAGTCAGCTAAATTAGAATGTCAATTACGCTTAAACAAGTGCACAAACACTTCATTGGTGCATCGAGGTGGAGATTCATGAAGCAATAGAGTACCAATGAGCTAATCCTGTCAGATGCACCGACCACTTCTAACACTCCATCCTAACGTGCTAAAAATGTGGCAAAGAGGTTTGTGAAATGCATTTAAACTTATTTAGCTTTTCAAATTTAATCATTTACACGACACACAACAAAAAATGCCTGGAATGGCTCACAGTACCTGGAAGTGAAGGTTGGTGTACTGTCCTCCGGGTATCTCGTTCTCATAGACATCAGCGTTGCCAGATTTCATGGTGGCAGTGCAGTCGAATGGAGCATACAGGCCTCTGGCTACTTCCCAATATTCACTGTAGTCAAACACCTTCTCCAGAGCAATGCCTGCAACAGAGCAGAGCAAAATTTCATCAAATCAACACGCACCATTTTAATGAGACTTGTCAGCACTCCTCTACAATCGTTTGAAACTGTGCTTGCCATTAGTCTTAAGATGAATGACGGCAATGACATGTAATAATATTTGTGTTTTCAGAATATGGGGAGAATAACTAATGAGAAATAAAAAGCCATCCAAGTTGACTTATTAATCATTTGAAATGGATTTTTTGTAATAATATGCTGTATTGACTGAGATTAATGCATACAGAGATGACTAATTGCCAATTCAGATTTCTTTAAAGCCAAAATCTATAACTTTCTGATCATTTGTGCACTCTGTATTGAAAAGAGAGAACTGATATGGCAATCAAATATAGTGTAATTGTTGTGGAAGCTTATGAGGCAATCTGCAGTTTATCTGAAATAGTCATCTCAGAAATTGTGCCACCTAGCAAATGGTTACAGCACTGGGCTTATACGGTTGATTTGGATGTATGGAAATGTAAAACATGATGTGAAACACAGTTTTAACATTGTGCTAAGTTAAAAAACAAAACATAAAGTACTTTGTCCACAAGAACAAGTCCAACCCAACCATAGGGTAGATATAGATGTGTCTCCAACCATTGAACAGTGTGCTGCGGTTTTATGCTTTACTGTACCAGTACTCATTCTCAAACTAGTCAGCTGGGGAAATCAAAATGTCAGAGATATTTCTCCTGTATTTAATCTGCCAGGGGCAGACAACTCCAAAAAATTTAGACAATTTTTGGACTTAAAATGGTTTACAGGCCACCAAAGCATTAATAAGCATGGACTTCACATAAAGTAAAGTCTACTATTTGCCTGCAAGTGCGCTTGAAAATTCCCTCCACATTTACATCTTGCCTTTGCCACATCAGAGCCGCTCATTAAATCCCTGTGATATTTTGTGATCCTTTAAAAAAATAAAACAACCCATCTGTTACTCATATTCATGATATTCTGCTGGAGCCAGTTAAGGTGTGCTAAAGCTGATTACATTAAAAAGGAAAAATCCTCTTTAATACCATGACAGGAATGGCAGTACACTGAGCTTTTGGCTAATGATGACAAAAATCAGCCATTTTAATGAGACAAACTTAGCTTTTTACATCCACAACAACTGAGTGGCAAGCTTGAATTTGTATGATTCAAAGCAAGTACGTACTCCAAAAAGTGTTTGTGTGCTTCCACTGTGATCTTGGCGGGGAAATTGAGCTACTGTGAAATTAATGTGAAATTAATGTGCATGTGGTTGCTCCTCAAATTCTGCTGCCTGCCAAGCCAGTCAGTAATTTGGTCCATTTCCTTCTCTGTTTGAGAACACTGTTTTTGTAGCTTTTCATTTATGCTTCAATTATGAAATTATGGTCTCAATTTACAAGGGGAAGTGATGGCACGTTCGGTAGCCACTGTTGTGTCCCTCCATGTACTCATGGCTTTGAGGTAGTGGACAAAACAAGTATTTGTTTTTACCAAAATGAAATAGCAGTAACGGAATTCTCCCAGCTGACAACTGAAAGAGCTCTTCCTTACACAAAACTGTGGGTACATCGCACACTACTCTGCTGTACTAAAGCTAAAGGAGTGTTAAATAAAACGGCCATGTCCGATTCTTTTGTGATGGATTGTTAAATACTGATGTAAAATAAAGGTTCTTTAAAGAGGACATACTGTAGCTCTGATTGAATCTGACAACAAAACTGTTTAACTCTACTGTGGCTGTGCTGGAAATATCTCAATTTAACACTGTCCACATTTGGCCTGATAAGGTAATGAACACAAATACATCTCATTTGGCACACATAAGCAGGGGGTACACCATCATTGTATTTTAAGGTGGTTTTACTTTAACTGCAGCCAATTTGCAGATATTCTTTGTTGAATTTAAAGCCACACTGGCATGATAAGGATTCACACACATTATAGGAACGGTTTGACATTTTGAAGGACGGTACCTAAAAGCATATCACAGAGCAAGAACACTTATTCAACCAGCTTTAATTGTGAGGCCAGTGCCTTTGTAAAGGGTAGCGGTTGTAGTATCTTTGGTAGAAAGTAACTAAATACATTTACTCAAATACAGTACTTAAGTACAATCTTGTAATACTTGTACTTTAAGTACATGCATTTTATGCAATTGTATACTTCTACTTTACATTTCATATGGAACTGTAGTACATTTTCTCTACTACATTTATCTGACAGCTGTAGTTACTAGATACTTTTCAGAAAAAGAATGTGTAAAAATATAACACATTGTTCAAGATTAAACCAGTGGTTCCCAACCGGTGACCTCTAACCGTTGTGACCTCTAACAGAACAGCAGTGTCTGACTGAGGCCATTTCCTTTCCTACCCTATTAACCATCTCATGACCCATCAAATTTATCTGGTGACCCTTTGGAGGTGCCCAACCCCTAGCTACAGCTACAACAGTAAAGTTCTGCTGACACAATGATGCATCAGTATTAACAATCTAAAAATGTATGTAATGTAAGTATAGTAATATGTATCAGTCACAGGGACATTTAACTACAGAACAAGTTACTTTTAGTACATTTTGCTGATAAAACATCTTTTAGTTACATTTTAAATGTAGTAGTATATTTAAAATTGTTGTATTGGCATTTTTACTAGGAAAAAAAGGGTCGGAGTACTTTCAATCACTGATCCTTATCAACCAACATGTACTTTAGAGTGGAGTTGGAGTCCAATGAAAGCAGGAAGTTCATTTGATTTAATTAACTTATTAGCTGGCAGTAACATCTTTCTAAACCAACACGAATGTTGTGTTTTATCTACACCATATTCTGCTACTCTGACAATCCAACTTGCTTTGTGGGATTAAAAGGTTTACACTGTATCCTATAAATATGGACAACAGCTGCAAATGTTGAGGATTCTGTTGGTAAATAAATGCTCCGTACTTGTATAGCGCCTTTCTAGTCTTTTCGACCACTCAAAGCGCTTTTACACCACATCTGCATTCACCAGTCACACACATTCATACACTGAGCCTAAGTGCTCAAACGGAAACTAACATTCACACTCATTCATACACTGGCGGAATAGCCGCCAGGGGCAAATCGGGGTTCAGTATCTTGCCCAAGGACACTTCGACACGCAACCAGGGGGAGCCAGGGATCGAACCACCGACCTTCCGATTAACGGCCAACCCGCTCTACCTCCTGAGTCACAGCCGCCCCAGCATTGTTTTATTGTTTTATTCTGGACTGCTGGTTACACTCCCAAAATCATCAATCACTGCACCATATACCATGTGTATGTAGACCACAGACATTTAGACAAGCACATGCATGTACATACATCAGTCATTTAGATGGCTGCTTGGCAGAGACAAAGTGCCATCAATATACAACTCATTAGCAGCGCACACACACACACACACACACACACACACACTAATGCAGGAGACAAACAGAGAGACACACACATTTTCATTTATAAACACAAATTCACTACACCAACACAGACACACGCAGTTTGTGGTTGATGGGACAAAGAGAGTTAACCAAGACTTGAAGATGAAGACAGATGACACACGAGAAGATTCCGGGAGAAAAGTAGGGAAAATTGAATGCAGACAGATGAAAGGGAGAGATAAGTGAGGTTAACAAGGAGCTAAGTCAGTTAGCTCACATGACACGGTCTGGGTTCAGTGCTTTGAGTACCTTCATATAATATCTATGCTTTGCGTGGTGTGTGTACATGGTCTATGGTGTGTTTGATGACCGTCAGAAGGCTGCGCTGTTGTGGCAGCTGGAAATTTCCTCAATTAAATCCATGCATGATGCATGAGAAAAGGCAGTAAATGCGGTGTCAAATAAAAACAAGGACCACTTTAATGTGTGTCATCATTTAACTGCATGAGGGTTTGTGAATATGTATGACTTAAAATGCATGGGTGTGTGCGTGCACACTGAGGCTGACTATAAAAATAAACTGACAGCTTAAAAGACAAATGAATTAACCAGAGTAGCACTGCTTTTGCCATTCCTTCAGGACAAAGAGTTACGGTGGGAGATAACGGGGGAGTGGAAAGGACACAGCAAAGAGAGAGAGGGAATTTGAGGGATTGAAATAGCCATGTAAAGTGCTGTTAATTGCTTTGTCACTGAGTGAGGGGGAGGGAAGAGGAGGAGGATGGAGAGACAATGTGAAAGCAGTGGGGGTGATAGGAAAAGGCATGAGAGCAGAGAGAGGGAGGGAGATAGAGGAGGCAGAGCACACTGCCCAGCACTGATTACTGCTTTGTAACAGAGATGGGAGAAAGAGGGGAGGGAGTGAACGAAAAGCAGTAAACAGACTAAGGTCAGGAAGGTATAGAAGTATCCAAGGCAGTGCTCCGCTTGATTACAAAAGTAGTGAAGAAGGCAAACGAAGATGGAAGGCACAAGGAGAGGCAGAGATAAAAAGAACAGACTAGCACAAGGTGACCGGTATAAAAGAATGTGGTGAGTAAGGAGGAGTTTGTCTGCATGTGTATTCATTTCGCTTGTACGAGGGTCACACTAGGATAGAGTATGCACACGTGTGTGTACGCGAGAGTGAGTGTATTTGGGAGACATCCTGCATCCCAATCGTAGTCTCAAGTGAAATAAATTCAAATTCCATGAATAAACTGACACACTTGAAAACGGCTCGCTCTTGAGTAACGACCTTGTCTCTCTCTTTCTCTCTCTCTACTTTTTCTGGGTACTGTATGCACACAAATTGATATTCTGTCACTAAACTAGACTGTGTCTAAATGATGGGAGAGTTTCTCTACCTCTGATACTTGATGCTGTTTCCTACAGTGGATAGAAAAAGTCCACACACCCCTGTTAAAATGCCAGGTTCTTATGATGTAAAATCATGTCAGAACTTTTTTCACTTTTTAATGTGACCTATAATGTGAACAATTCAATAGAAAAACAAACTGAAATCTTCGAGGGGGAAAATGAAAAATAAAAACCTTACAATAACCTGCTTGCATAAGTGTGCACACCCTCTTATAACTCAGGTTAACTAGAAGCCATTACACACCTGCCATCATTTAAAGTGACTCTGATTAATCACAAATAAAGCTCAGCTGTTCTAGTAGGATTTTCCTGATATTTTCTTAGTTGCATCTCCGAGCAAAAGCCATGGTCCGCAGAGAGCTTTCAAAGCATCAGAGATCTCATTGTTGAAAGACATAAGTCAGGAGACGGGTACAAAAGAATTTCCAAAGCATTAGATATACCCTGGAACACAGTGAGGACAGTCATCATCAAGTGGAGAAAATATGGCACAACTGTGACTTTACCAAGAACTGGACGTCCCTCCAAAATTGATGAAGACGAAAAGAAAATTGGTCAGGGAGGCTTCCAAGAGGCCTACAGCAACATTAAAGGAACTGCAGGAATTTCTTGCAAGTACTGTCTGTGTGGTACATGTGACAACTATCTCCTGTATTCTTCATATGAATGGGCTATGGGGTAGGGTGGCAAGACGGAAGCCTTTTCTTACAAAGAAAAACATCCAAGCCCCGCTGAGGTTCGCAAAAACAAACATGAAGTCCCCCAAAAGCATGTTGGAAAATGTGTTATGGTCTGATGAAACCAAGGTTTTTGGCCCCAATTCCAAAAGGTATGTTTGGCACAAAAACAACACTGCACATCACCCAAGGAACAGCATACCCACAGTGAAGCATGGTGGTGGCAGCATCATGCTTCGGGGCTGTTTTTCTTCAGCTGGAACCGGGGCCTTAGTCAGAGTGGAGGGAATTATGAACAGTTCCAAATACCAGGCAGTTTTGGCACAAAACCTTCAGGCGTCGGTTAGAAAGCTGAAGATGAAGAGAAAGTTCACCTTTCAGCACAACAACGACCCAAAGCACACATCCAAATCCACAAAAGCATGGCTTCACCAGAAGAAGATTAATGCTTTGGAATGGCCCGGCCAGAGCTCAGACCTGAATCCAATTGAACATCTGTGTGGTGATCTGAACAGGGCTGTGCACAGGCGATGTACTCGTAATCTGACAGATTTGGAGCGCTTTTGCAAAGAAGAGTGGGCAAATATTGCCGCGACAAGATGTGCCATGCTAATAGACTCCTACCCAAAAAGACTGACTGCTGTAATAAAATCAAAAGGTGCTTCAACAAAGTATTAGTCTAAGGGTGTGCACACTTATGCAACCAGGTTATTTGAGGGTTTTTATTTTTCATTTTTCCCCCTCGAAGATTTCAGTTTGTTTTTCTATTGAATTGTTCACATTATAGGTCACATTAAAAGGTGGAAAAAGTTCTGACATGATTTATCTTTGTCTTATTATTTTACATCATAAGAACCTGGCATTTTAACAGGGTGTGTACACTTTTTCAATCCACTGTACATTGCCCATAACTATATTTGCCAGCTCCAGAGAATAGCTGTGAACTTAAAGTCACATCAAAAACATGACATGACTTAATGGCTCTGTTGTGGTGCTGCTTTATGAACTATTACAGAATATGCTTCCTCTTCTAAGGCTGATTTCTCCCTGTATGGACTTAAGGTGCTGCAAAACAAAACTAAGCTGACCCAGAAATGCAAGGAGCATTGCCTTTTTTGAAAGACCCACCAGCTGAAAATCGTGTTTTGCTAACCAGCAGCCTGTTGCACCAGCTGTAAGTTCAAACCTAGTTATGATGTAAATTATTACCAAGTTGTGATTTATGCATTAGTAAAATAAATGTGGTTGCACCACAAAGATAAGTAAAATCTTAATAGTTAAACATGCCCCAGGGAAGGTGTAAATCATAAAATGTCACAGAATTATACTCTTACTATTGAATATCCTATTATACTCAATAGTAAAACTGCTGTTTTTCTGCCCCACAGCATCATTTTTCCACTAATTGCATGCCATTTTGCAACACAGTAATCCAGTAGAGACCTAATTTATTGATATATTTCAATATCGATCTAGCTTACTACTACGATGCCCAGTGGCTAGAGAGCTAATGCGTACTGTAACCATGATGATGGAACTCTAACTTTGAGCGCTGATTTGCCACTTGACTTTAAGTCCAAACTATCGATGTGATTATAAACTAACTAGTAGTTGGTGGTAGTTATTAAGACTCTAGTGTCAACTTTACACACAAACCTGAGGAGAGACCTTACACAGAGCTGGTGCAATCCAGTGCAGTAGTTTCTCACTTCTCACCTCGCTGCTGTGATGAAGAAGTGTCATCTAGGGTGTGTCAGGGCACTGTGACATCACTGGTTGTACCACGCCTTTCAGCCTGGTATTAAGTTACTATTTAAAGGGTTTAAATGTTTTAAGGTGGAATCGTCTTCCAAGATACACAGATTGTTTTTAAGCGAAAACATGTATTGTAAGATCTATATGAAATAGTACAATTTGCAAGTAGCCTCCATGATTTTTACAAACAGCACTACATGCACGTTTGCCAACACGCTCACTTCCACAGTGGGTTGACAGGATCTGCAGAACTAACTTCAGACCACATGGCATGGTTTCTATGATATTGTATAAAAAAAAAATGCTGTAAAGAGAATGTGGGCATGCATCGCCCTCGCTGTGACGCAGAGGTCCACGAGCCCGGACACTAATCCGAGGTGGGAGGGGCTCTGGCTTTTTCACAGCCTATGAACATTGGACAACAGCAAAGCCAAAGTGGAATGACCATATTATAAATCTATCCCTCCACTTATCAGTTGACCTCCTGAGAAGATGGAATAAAGCAGCGCTGGTCCCGAGGGTGGAGGAGCAGGCTTGTGACTGAAAGATCTGACAGAACGTGGGTGGGGAAAGCAAATGAGTAACCAACAGCCATGTCAAGGATGCCTTGGGAAAAGCTGTTAACCCATAAATGCTTCATGGAGAGCTGCTCACTGGTCACAGTAGAAATGTGTGTCTGTGCAGGTTTCAATTTTTAGCAGGTTATGATGAATACAAGACCACAAATTCATTGAAACCAGTATTTTTTTAATGCATATTGTTAGCAGAAGGTTTCTGAACTGTTTCCATTTTATCAAGAATATTCAGATTTTATTGACTACACCAGCATATAGCATTGACCTTACATCCTCTTCTTTTGGTTTGCACCGTCACTTTCACAGCATCCATGCATTGCTATTATAATGGTATAAAAGTGTAACTCCTGCATGGACTATCCTCCCTCATTGTCACATTCCTTGAGCCAGTTTGTGGCACCGTCTTCCTCTTATAATTGGCTGTTTATGTTATCACTGAGCAGAATGTGTTAGTCTTTCTGACTTAGGGCCATAATTAGAGATGTGCTCTGACATTTATTGATCCCTCCCTCATGTAAAGCAGGAGACACAGAAAGACACAAATAATCTGAGTAAGACTGGTGATCTAGGAGATGTTCTGTCTCGTTAAACCACTATTGATTTTGCTAAATGAAACTGATGGGAATAATGAACTAACATTTAGTGTTACTTTACCGCTCTTCCACCAAAATTGCATCTAATACAAATCCTTTCCTCATGTTGACAGGCTGGTGATCATGTCACTTACCGGTGTCAAGCTTGGTGCCCTTGGCGCAGGCCACCATGGCTCCCATGCTGGGCTGAGACGTCATCCCGGCCATTGAGTCGACCTAGAGAGTGACAATGAATGTGAACACTGTTGACTAAAAGCCACAATCATTGTAAAAGTGCGTTATGTGGGTCAAGAACTTAGTGGATGGATTTTATATACATGGAGCAAAAGGTGTTGTGTGCAAATCTGTGTGCACATATGTCCAAAATGTTTGCATGTGTGTTTAACATAGTGAATAATAGGAAGAAAGCAGCAAGCGTCCCTGCTCCATCATGTGTATTTCAGCATGCTTCATCTTGTGTTCCTGTGTGTACATTTTTGTTACTTGGCAGATTGAGAAAACATACTTTAACCAAGTAAACCAACAGAACCAATACAAATAAATGTTTTTATGGGGTTTGTCTGATCCATGGTGGACAGTCAGTGGTTTCTTTCATAAGGTCTTACAAGGAACTGAGCAACAGATCGGCCCAAAACTGCAAATAGCAGCCGATTGTATTAATGAAACTGCCCATGCTGGCAGCATGCATCCCTGAACACACTAAGGATGTTTTCAGACCAAATCCGGTGTTGCGTCGATTAGCTGCAGGGTTATGTGGTGGTGTAGGCGTGCTTATTTGTGCTTTAGAACTTAACCCCTGTGAAACAATCAATATTATAACGTTGTATTTCACCGACTGACTGACTTTCTCGCTGGCGCTCCCTCTCTTCAAACTATGTTGCTCGACCACCACTGTCTTTGTCTCTCAAACAAATGAACACCAGCCAAAGGAGGCTTCTTGGTATGCTATTTTTCAGTATAGACCAAGCAAGGACATAACTGGGAGAGTATCATGGTTTGGTCCATGAACTCTACATGGTTTCAGTGATAATTCAGGCTGACTGCGGAGCACTTGAATGTTGAATGCGCACGGCTCAGGACCGGAGGGCTCTGCATTGGGCGATTACAACTGCTCAGAAGATCACTGGTACCCATCTCCCGAGCATCAGCGATAAGGTCCCAAAAGGATACTAAAGGACATTACCCACCCCAGCCACAGCCTGTTCACCCTGCTGCCTTCTGGAAAGAGATATAGAACGTCTCCCTAACCCACTTCTGTCTGTGGATTTAAAATAAATGTATGAATAGGATTCTTATGTGTTGCTGACAAACATTGTTTTCCTTTCCGCAGAACGCCGCACCATGACAGTGGGTTGGGTTTCTCTAAAAGCTGTTTGTGTTTCTACTTTTCTGCTGCAGCTTAAACCACTACTCCAATTCAAAATGAAAGGGAGGACCTACGTTTTCTCAGCAACTGGTAGAAAATATTTGTTCATGCTGTAAGGATAACTTGTAGGTGGACCTAAACCTCTAAATAATTATTTCAGTTGAATGTATGTAGAGGTGTAATTTATGTTTTATATAAACAAAACTGATGAGAAAATGCAGTACATGGACTGGACCTTATCTGGAACATGGGGGTTCTGTAGAACATGATGATGAATACTCACAGCAACATCCACCACGTCAGCTCCAGCCTCAGCGCAGGCCAACATGGCCGCTACACCGGCTCCAGCTGTGTCGTGTGTGTGCACATGGATGGGTACATCTGGGAAACGGTCCCTCAAAGCGCTGATCAGAAGTTTGCTGGCCTCTGGCTTCAGCAGGCCGGCCATATCCTGGTAATACAGGGATTTCCCAAATTGTTACACATATATTAAATATTTTACACTTGTGTATTTTCTATTTTACATTATTTTAACATCTCACTCTTTGGCCTGGAATCCTGCACAGGGTATCGATGATCACAGGAGTAGACCTTAAACCAGATGCCTTAATCCTGTTTTAAGTGGCTCTATACAACACATCTACATTTGGAGTCCTGGACTAAGTTAAACAAGACTGATTTCAACCACCTGCCTTAGTCCCCATTAGTGAGAAAGTGCGCACACACCTCTGGCCTGAGGCTGCTCATGAAAGCTGGAACAGACCACAAAGGGTTGATAATTTGGTGGAATTGGATGAGAACAGCCAAATTAATGGAGGCAGAAAGAACATGTTGACAAACAAAAACACAATCTTTTGTGTGATTAGGACTTGGATAGCACTACTGACCAGTAAAACTCTCTAATGAACAATTGCGCCTTCACTGATAAAGAGCATTTATCTGGAGTTAAAACTGCTGAGGTTAAATGAAGCCATTTAGTCTTAGAGTAAAATCTTCTTTCTGGAAATAACTTAGTTTCAAGTGTACAAAAATGTTACTAAAAGCTACTAAATATGTACTGGAAAAGTATCACTTAGATCAGTAAAATTATGACAAAAGCTGAGACAGACACACTTGTGAGGATCATTATAATGTATAAATCTTAATTGACATTAACAGAAATTCACAGACAGGGCTTAGATGCTTAGTTGCGCTCTCTTTGGTGATCATTGCACTCCATGACGTTATAATGCATGCTTATTTCCTCTTTTCAAAGTTAACCTCATTAGCTGTGCAAGCCTTTTATGAGATTGCCATTGCTGCGTGTGATGGTTCACACTGCGGTAGAGAGGTAGTTTATCGTTTCATGTTTGAAAATATTCTGTCAGGCTTTAATAAAAAAAATTAATTCAATGTAAGCATTATCCGTCCGTTCATTCTGATCGGAGGCTGATGTTTACAAGTTATTTCAACAAGAGCAAGTCGAAAAATTTCAGCTGTGTTCAACAGTTGATGTGAACCTGGGTGAACGTGGGTTTACTTTACTATGATACACTGGTGAAATTGGTTAAGGGAACACTCAGATTTTATTGATCTGTTTTTGTATTTATCTGAACGTCAGCTAACATTCTGGCGTTTCAGTAGTAGTAGCACCAAACGTGACAAGAGTTAACAAGTATTAGTGGTAGTTGTTGCAGTACTGGGTGGGTCATATTTAAACATATGTGAAGCAGTGTAAAATAAGTGAAAAACTCAGTAGTGTAAGCAGCTTGCTTACTTACCTAAATAATAGTAATTACAACAGGAATTCCATTAGCAAATTAAAACGTTTTACCGGACGGTGGTGCTTCTCCTTAGATTAAACCAACTGAATACAAGAAAGCTTGCATCCAAATGCTACTCAGAGTCTACACTGCTGTGTCAGACCGGCAAAAGTTTACCTGGTGCTTAGTGCTGGAGTGTGTATACAAGTACAAAATACCAGCAGGTTTTATGTTTTTCTGATGGCACATTGGCAGCAATTTCCACACAGATGCAAACAATAGGTGCCAGAATCTTTAGATTATCGCAGTGACGGAAAATGCAGGCTCAAGTTGCTGTAAACACTTAAAAACAGTAGAGCCTATTTTTATTTCCTCACCTTGATACATAGGATGTGGGTTCCGGCTTTGACAAGCTCGTCAGCAAGTTTCACATAGTAGTCCAGGGAATACTTCTGCCTCATTGGGTCAGAGACGTCCCCTGTGTACGAGATGGCAGCTTCCACTACGCCACCTGCTGCCCCTGCAGCCTCCATGCCCAGCAGCATGTTTGGCAGGTAGTTCAGGGAATCGAACACCCGGAAGATGTCCATGCCATTCTCCTTGGCCACCTCGCAGAACCTGGGGGCGGGGTGGAGGGAAAGGAAAACGATGTTTGTCAGCAACACATAAGAATCCTATTCATACATTTATTTTAAATCCACAGACAGAAGTGGGTTAGGGAGACTGTCAAGACTTTACACTGCACGATGATCACACAATCACTCTCACAAATATGGTATAATGAGTTTGTCTTCATGCACAGTGTATTCTAGATAATAGCATGCATCCGGGTTGGGATAAGCCGTTTATATCCATTTCCATATCGCCACTTATAATTATCGCTGTACCTGTGTTGATACAATATCCTCACCATTTCCATGAGAAGTGAGCTTACACCGCCTGCAGGAAACAACAATAACTGGAGAGAAATGTATACCCGCCTCATTATCCAACCTGCTAGTGGTAAATCCGTCCTGTTATTGCCTTGGCCCTGGTACCTTAATCAGGTTTTTCATAACTGGGGTGAGTGCTTACTGTAGCTGTGTTACTGTGAATTCAATATTTACACACACTAAGAGCTTTTGTTTTGGCAAATAAACAGAGACACTTAATGTTGTGCCATTAGAGGATTACCAGTCCAACGTCTGCATGCCCAGTATTTATTTAGCACGACAATGCATAAAAGCGCTGTCTAGTGGATGCTGTCTGGCACCAAATCAGAAACACTGTCCTACATATCTGACTCAGAGCTGATGTAATCGTAATTCATGCGAATCAGAAACAAAACACCTTCTTTAAAGTGACAAGACGATCTGGTTAGCATTCATTTGACCCTTTCAGCGTACCAGGCATTTTAGATCTTTAAACATTTGACATCCCTCCCGCTGCAGAGCGTACTGTACTGTGACATGCACTTTAAATCAAGCAAATGAAATGAAATTACACTTTGATTTGATTTAGTTAATGAAGACGCTTAGGCCACTTGGCTGTGGGCTGCCGCACTGAAAACACTGAGGTGAGAGTGTGATGGAGTGAAGCGGGGAGGGAAACAGATCAAAGCCATTAATCACAATCATGTGCAAATTTTCAATGGCACTCCCCCCAATGGGACTCTGAAAGTGAGAGGGAGGAGAGGGTGATGAAGAGCAGTCGGGACAGAAAGAGAGAGTTAAAAAGCAGGAAAGAAGTGTGTAATGCAGAAAGATGAATGGAGGCATGAAAAAAAGGGAGTCATAAGAGTGGGGATAAATAATGACTATATGATAGAAGCGAGGGGAGGGAGAAAAACGCGGAGGATAGGGGAGGCCTGCGTGTGTGTGATTCAAATGGAAGGAGGGAGGAGGGGACAGCTGCATTAGTCATAAAACCACTACACATTTATTTGCGGTGAAGGGGATTAACAATGTGCATGTGGTGTGTGTGTGTGTCCGTCCTTGTCTGTGTTTGTGCATGGAACTGCATGCAGGTGTGTGTATGCGTACATGAGTCATCAACGTCATCGAGGTAGCCTGTGAAACCATTTGGAAAAGTGGCATGTGTATGCATGTGTGTAGGCACAGGAGTATTTATGGCCCTAAATTCATTGCAGGGCACATCTGTATCGATGTGTGTACCTCACTGAGCGTGGTAGGAGGCAATGGGGAAAGAAATCAACCAAATTGACCTGATTAAAAGTGTGTGTTAGTTGTGTGGTTTGCGGGTAGCTACTGTACAGTATATCAAGTTTAGAATGTGGGTGAAATGTTCAAAGGTAAATGTATTATTTTGTAATAATAAACATGTCAAAAATAATACAAAATACATAAATTATACAAGTGAGCTTAAAGCAAAAGCTTGTTCTCAACTGAGCACCTCCGTCTGCTGAGGAAAGCCAAAAGATGTGGCTGAAAGCTTTGGAAACAGCAAGTTATACATCTGTTATCCAAGTTATCCAAAAGGTCTTCAAAATGCAAAACAATGTGCATATTTATAGTACGAATCTGGGTGTTCCAGCTGTTAGCTCTTAAATACTTGATTAATAACTGAATTCAAGTATTAAAAATAGAAGGAAAAAGTGTGTGCGAGCGTGACTCACTTAAAAACAGCATTGTCAGGGTAGTTTGTGTAGCCCACAGCGTTGGCCCCTCTCAGCAGCATCTGGAACGGGACGTTTGGGATCAAAGCTCTCAGCTCCTGGAGTCTCTTCCATGGACACTCTGACAGGAAGCGCATGGCCACATCAAAGGTAGCACCTACACACTCACACACACACGGAGTGGAAGTTTATTTTAGCTGTCATCTCAAGTCTCATCTGTCATCCAACTTTGATTTCAATTTTAGATTCACAAACTAATATTTCAAACTTATCACATTACACAAAAACGCACACATAGCTGGCACAAATATAATGCACACTAATGGATGTTCAAACAGAATATCGGATGATACTTGCACATTCATTGTTCGTTCTAACGCTTCCATCATTTCATTCTAAAGTCACTTTAAAATCTATGAAATGTTTCAGTGGAAGAAGCGAGAAAAAAAATAAAAAATAAAGATAGCCATCTCTCATTTCCCTTTCTGTGGGAGTAGATTAGTGAATCTCATGCCCGTTTATCATATCAGCCAGAAATATTGAAGCCTCCAGTGGTTTTCTGCTGATCCAACACTGCCATCATTAAATTTCATTTTCTGAGCACTTGTACATTTGGACACGGAGAGAATACAAAGCACAAGTGCTTGTTCCCTACTCTTAGAGGAGCAGGAATGCCCTGGAAAAACCCTCCCACCCCCGATTTAGCCTGTGTCAGCATCTCTTAAAACTACTGGCTTGGAGCAGAGATGACTCCAAGCAATCCTGTCTGATGTTAAACATATTAGTATTAATGTTTTATAGCACGTGAGATTTCAAAACATGATGCTAAGTGAGAATTCAGCTGGGACATCAGAATTTACTCAAATAATTTGATAAAAGTTATGAACACTGACAGCTGGTCCCGCATATCAGAACATTAGGCAAGGGCACCGCTATAGCCAGCCTCTTTTTGGGAAAGACAGGCAGCCTCCAATCTGTCATGAAGATGAGCTGAAATAAATCTGAGAGAAAGAACGAAACAACCCCGTTATGCACCGCCCACGACTGCCAACATTTCTTAATGTTTAAAGAAAGTATATATTACTTTTTTTGGGACAAATTGTCTCCTGGAATATGGGCACACTAGGTAAGAGTAATCGTTACAAAACTCAATATTAAAACCATTTGTTTAGTCTCATTATTGGCAGACTCTTTACTCTCTTAATTTCCCCTGGTGGGAAAATAAAGTTCTGTAAAATAAACTTATGCCTCATACTCTTGAGCCAATAAAAGAATAATGAATAAAAATGATTCATATCTATGATTTGAATAAACACACACATCTCGCAGCAATTTTCTCTCAGCATTTTTGCTTAAGTGAGCAATTATGGCCCTGATGCATCAGACAGGTTATTGTGCCAAATCAATTTTTATGTCATCTGTGATTCCACTTTATTGGTCTGGATTGGTTGATTTGCCTTTGTGCTGGTCAGACTTCCATGCTTGTATGTCTACTGCTTGTACCAAGAAACGGCTTACATTCCTTATGCACATGCAGAAGCGCTCTGAAACACTGAATATACAACTGCAGGGCAGAACAAGAGGCGCACACCAACATGATACGTACAGTACTGTTAATTAAGAATCTGCCACTTTACCATCTGATAAATTTGCCAATTGTGAAAAAGATATGGGAAACCATATATACATACACATTACGTGACCCAATTCACATTACTGTATCTTCCGTGGTATAGGGAGGAACGCTATATCAGGAAGAGACTTAATCCTCAAAGGGCTTTCACAGGCTTAATCTCTTCAATGATTCATTCTGCCTCTAAGCAGCTGAAACATGTGAAAGCAATATTCCCTATCCAAGATCCCTCTGTGTCCCTACGTAAGAATCTTTTTTTTTACAATGTGTCATGGTGACAGCGTTCAGTACTCACATGGTCATCTCCCTTAGGTGATATATTTTGGTTCTGAGTGATTGGAGCACAGCAGAGTGTAATATTCTCCATGTCTGATCACTTGTTAATAAAAGTGCATTGTATAGGAACCTACTATCAAGAGAGGCACGGTAGTTATTCCTCCCATGGTCTTTTACTGATTTATGAGGAACCGTTTCAGGGTATAGTTAAAAGCCGTCACTGTGGGACAGTGTGTGCTAGAGCTGAACTTTTTACTGCAGCATGGTAGTCTAATTTGTGTTTCACAACCTAAATCAATATCAGGCGAGAGCATGGCTGGCAACTTGCGAATCTGGGAACTTTTCAAGTTTTCAAAGCTGAGTGAATAAAGGATGTTTAAGTGGGGATGGGAAACAAACTGTCTGATATTCACACATTATCCTGACCGGTCAGCAGTCTCTCTTTAAAGAGGCTCTCCAATGATTTTACACTTCCACGAAGCAGAAACATAATATTTGAAAGATGTGGGCATTAAGCAAGCATGAACAGTTTAAGGAACGAGTATATTGAGTTGCATTACTGGAAGCGTAGGATCCAGTGTTTTTAGCTAAAAGTCTGGATATCCTGACCTCTGCTGCTTTTGAGCAGGAATTCAAACTTAATTTATATTGTATACATAGTGCTTTACAGAAAGAATGAAAGGCGGATATAGAAAACAAGGTAAAATAAGACAATTAATAAAACAAGAAAAAGCCAAATAAAATAAATTTTATTTTGTGAAGTACACACTGGCTTGACCTCTTCTAGACTGTAGAAGTTACCAAACTTTAAAATGAAATGGTCTATTAATAATAAAATATTAGATTTTACTTTTATTGTCATGAGAAAATATATAAATGTCAAAAGGCTTGGTGGCAGATTCATTACTCTGTTTTCTAAATGCTTTGTTGTTCTTACCTAACTAGTCAAATTAACGTCAACATATTAATATGCACAGGGAGCATTTTATTATACTGTAATCTAGTAAAGTCGCAGGAAGCTTTCAGTGAGATATCGCTCTCTAGAATTTATTCTGCCTTCAAGTGTTTAAATAATTATGAGAAAGTACTATGCTGTTTTCTCTGACTGATAATCGTATCATGCTGGAATTACCGACGCCTCAAGAGGATCCACTAGCATAACACATTTCTCTACGATGATTCACACGCTCTCCACTTTTCTTAACTAAGAAAGACAATCTTTTGCTGCTCAGCTCATAATGTCAGCCCATTATAGAATCATTATGTCAGGAGGCTTTTAAACTTCTCCAACTCCTGTTTTACATTTGATTTCAATGATGTACTTTGTCGTTCTATAAATGGGAGAGAGACGAGCATATATTCACTTCCGCTGACTTCTTTATGAAGACTGTTTAAACTTTCATTGCTTTCAGAGCTTTCATTGACACAGGATTTCAAAACTCGTCTCCCACAGCAATTCAAACATTAGTGTTTTATGAGAGCGCTTAGAAGGAAGACACAAAGTAAGATGCATTCATTTTTCCTCTTGCAGTTTTATTATAACTGGATTTAGAGTTCAGGGCCCAGTTATTCTACAGAGTTTACATAGAGCTTTTGCTGCAGCAAATGCCCAAATTAAGAGTGTTGACTGAATTGTAATTATGTGCTGTACTGAAAAATAGTCAGTTGAAGCCTTAAAAATGAAGGGAATATTATTTGCTCTTACTAAAAATTGTTTAAAAAGGACATGTTCACTGTTTTAGACCAAACCTTATTAAATGTTTGTTTATAATAATTCATATTAAAGCCTAATATAGCCCCACTGCTACTTCTCTGGGGCAATAGTTTAGGCTTTCAAAAACCATGATAAGTCTCAGTTTAGAAAGCAAGAAGCTCTGAGTAAATTAACATCTTTAATGTTCCAACCAAATGGTCTCAAAGCTTTCTATCAGGTTTTATTGACCGTTTCCTGTTTCTCACACAGATAAAGTCAAGAGAAATAATCAGAAAAACCTGATGGAAAGCTCAGTTTGGGCTCTTCTATCAATGAAGCATATAGACATGTCTGTGCTGTGAGCTTCCCGTTCCCTAAAAGGGAGATTCATCACATTTTTGAAAGCCTAAACGAAAGCCCCATTGGACTGTGTATAAACTGCAGCAGTGATAGGATCCTCAGAAGTAAAGCTATCAGTGAGGTTGTGTTATGAATGATTATAATTTTAATATCAGTGTGGGCTGAAAAATAGTGTACTTTATTTTTGAATCTTCAAATATAAGACAATGAATTGTTAAAAAGGCATTTATGTCCCTTAATCAAAGCACTTTCCACTTGAATTGGTTCACACAGTATAATGAGACATGCAGGGACAAGGGACTTCCCTGGCACCTATCCAACAATTTCAGACAGATTGAGTTCACCGTGAGTTTTCACAGCCTCTCTTCAAAGATTTACTTTTAGTGTAACTGCTCAAACATGGCTAAGCTGAATTCATATCATCTTTCTCTGGTCAATCTCATAAAATCATCAGGATATACTGGGAGATGGAAGCATTTAAGCTTTTTCTATCGAAGTATTTCCTCTCAATGATTTACTTTTACAGCACTCTAATTTTACTTTTTGCTATAACCTTTTTATTTGTTCAAACATGAGATGAGGAGACAGTTGCCTAATGTGAGATCTGCTCAAAGTGGTCTCCCACAGTAATGAAATATATTGCTTTCCCCCAACTGGTGCACAATGATTGTCTACCAGGGGGAATTTAATCTCAGAAAAAGTACCGGAAGCACTGAATAGGTTTCGCTGGAGAGTGTCTCCTGTGGGTTTTTTTCTTTCACTTTGTTCAACCATCAAACGATGAGCACAGTCACTGCAACAGAAACCCTTTTTACTTTAGGCTTGTGTTGTTCAGTTCTCGTGTTTGTTCTTGTGATCTACTCAAACCACTGAGTAGTTTACTATAATTTAGCATTAAATGTTTCAACCTTGAGAGGTTCACTGGCCATCTCTCTTCCACAAATGTCAAATCTTAAGTGTTGAAAGGGGAAAATTAAATTTACTCTGAAACCAGTTCATAACAACTGCACGTCACACAGGACTATTATCAAGAAGTGTTGATAACTGGTCTTATCGCCAATTGTTCAAACATGAGTTCTCTAGCCAGTTTCAGAGTAATTGCATATTATACAGGGACACCAGTTGACTGTTCATGCCCCAAGAAGTTTCAATATCATGTGATTCTCTCTATTCAAGAGAAGGTGAAAGGTACAATCATTGTCTATTGATGAAACTTGAAGACTTTTGGGAAAGGAGATGCAGGCATGAGATTTGTTTTCAATGGCACATGATTTTTCATAGCTCAAACAAGAAAAACAAAGAGGCACAATCTCTGTCATCAATGAAATAGGGAACAGGTCTACAACAAGAGTGGGGAGAGAATGGAAAGTACTGGCATGACTGTTCACATAAATTAAAATGGTGAAGAGCACAAAGAATTTAATTAATATGATAGCCATCAGAAAAGAGAGATTCATGCCATTCTTGCATGACTGCTTGTGTGAGATCACATATTATAGGTGATTCCTCAGTTATAACGAAACTTCATAGTGCCGGTGTTGCTTTAATTTTTTGTGTATATGTAAGGTCAATACCACTCTCATTGCGTGTACGCTAATATATTAAGATGAAGCCAAAAGACTGTTAGCTTAGCTTATACAGGGGAAAACTGCTAGCCCAGGTCTGTCAGCCAATCATCTGTTTACTCTGTACAAAAAAGTGTATTTGTGGGTTTATGCAGAGTTACGTGCGGGACTATTTCATGGTGATAAAATGACATACATTCAACACAAAGAAACTCACCTCCCCAGTTCTCCAGGCTGAAAAGGTTGCTGAAGTTGTGGCTGACGAACGGTGAGATCTTCTTCAGGTCGTGGGTCCGAACCCTGGTCGCCAGGAGTGACTGGTGGGCATCTCTGAAGGTGGTGTCCATAAGCAACAGACCTTGGTGGGCACGGACAGCCCTAGCAAATCCCTCAGGGCCGTCACGCAGCAACACGTCACGGAAACCTATCGGAGGTTCGCCTGATTGTGACGGAGGGAGGGAGAAAGACCGGGCAAAGAACAAAATTAATGGGCACATGGATTTGTTGGATATATATATATATATATATATATATATATATATATATATATATATACACACGATGTGACCCGTTTGTGAGAAATCAATATCAATTGCTAGAACAAACTAAAATGTTCCAAACTCAGATTGTGCAGATACTTAATGACTAGCAAATATATTCGCAGAAATATATATTAATACAAAAAGATTTTTTAAACCACAGACGTGCAGTTACAGCCATGTGGTAATAATCCATTCATTGAACAAGCGGACAAGATGTGTGAGTAACCTTTTACTCTAATCTTAAGTGGTGTATTGACTTGAGACACTGCTCTCAAGTGTCTGGCAAGATAAATGATTCACATCAGTTTAACGAGACGCCAGGCGAGCAGGTAAACTGATGTTAGTTACACAGTGTTCTTTCTCAAGATGTGCTGTTAACAGGTCCAGCGCTTGTCATAACTTCTGCTAATGAGGTGGATGCTTTCTCCTTTCATTTCTGCTCCAATCGCCCTCAGCTCAAGTAGATCAACTATAACAGAATACAGGAATAAGCTCAGCAGCTGGCTTATTAGACACACCACCCACCAATTTGTGAAAATGGATTTCTCCTGCTGACAGTGACTCATATGGTCATGGTTTTCTATATAAAGCAAGCACCTACTGCTTAATAAAACAAGAGATCCACGTGACTGAGCTTGGTACTGTATGGTTGCCACCTGAAGGTGAACAGATTTCAGGATGGGTGCTATTGCACTTTTCATGCATCTCTAATTTCTCAGCCTTATCTGGCCTGTGACCCCGTTTTTAGGTCCCAAAATTCACAGCAATCAGAGAGCTGTCATGTTATCGCACATTTGAGTATGGCATATATTTATATTCTATTTTGAAAGGCTGGAGGCAGCTCCAGATGGATTATATTGAAATGCTATATTTCTGTCCTTTTTACTCTATGTTCTTTGACATATTGATGTGTTTCACATATTTCCATATACAACTTATTTATAATTAGGAACAGCAGTGATTTAAGCCAAATGCTAACATGATCACCATGACATTGCCAACATGCCAATGTTTCGCCAGTATAATGTTTACCATGTTCGCCATTTAAGTATAGTGTGTTAGCATTCACAGTTAACAGTTTTTAGCTGTAATTAGCCCCAAAGACAATGTATAGCTGAGGCTGGTGGGAATGTCATTAGTTTTGAAGGTATTTAGTTATATAATAATGAAAATAATTAGTCATTAGGAGACACCTTTATCCAAAGCGACTTACAATCTTTCAGTGGATAAGTGAAAATCTTGACTTGCTGTTGGTGCCAGACAATATATCAGGGTACCAAACTCCGTAGGATTCATCCTCTGGAGAAGATGACTGTCTCTACATAATTTCATAGCAATCCATTCAATAGTTGAGATATTTTACTTGCCATCCAAGAAGCCATGCTGTTAGCGCAGCTAAAAATTTGACAACAGCAAGACAAACTACCAGATGAACTAAAAACGGGCAAATCGCATGGAGTAACATCCATTAGAAGGGTCGGGAGTTCAGAATCCTTGCAGGATCCATCCCTGAGGAACCCAGGAGGAAGACTATTTGACATGTTGGCATTTTGTGAGTGTTTTTGGTTAAGCCTACAAGGCTGTAATGTCACATGCAGTATCAAAACGTACCACTAAAAGCCTCCACAAGGAGGAATTAAAACAACTGTTGCGGAATCCCCAAGATGAATACTGGCATTTCCAGTTCATAACAGCTAAAGAGTCCTCAAAAACAACAAGTTAAACACTGCACGGACCTTCCTATAACCAACCTTCTACCCTTATCCTTCTCTCTATCCTCAGCATGCTTTCTACTACATGCCTGGCAATTAAACAAGCACAACCAGAGGCAATACAATATTGGAAGTGGAATTGGGATCTATATTTGCTGCTGTGTGTACAATCATCAATCAATTAGACTAGTTAATGAGGTACTATCTGCCTGCTTAGTTGTCCTTCAACACTGCCCCTCTCTCTTCCCCAATCACTTCCTCTCTCTCTCTGCATAGCTGAAAATTCGCTCTTTACCTTTTGTTGTTGAACCCCATCCCTGAAAACAAATGATCTCTGCTATAATTGTCTCAAAGGCCAGCATGGGTGAAATGAACACGCGCGTAGATACATTTGTCCACTCATGCAAACGCACTAACACAGAAACACCAAAATGAGTTCATCGAAACACACACAGGCTAGATGAGCTCTGTGAAATCACGCTGCCATAGCAAATAGATACCGACGCATTGAACTTATCAAGATCAGTTTATAATACGACCAGCATGGGGAACACGCCACACTCCCTTACACACAGATTTATTTATTTTTTTCCCCCAATTTCTTCCATTACTCACACTGCAGTTTTAAAAACTTGCTTTCTATGTTTTCATCACTTGTGCTGTCTTTTACACACATGCCTCAACTAGGCCTGTCAGGATTACTACTTTTAGTTGGACTTACATTGTCATTTTAAGACCCTTTTATGCCACTTACATAATAATTAAGTACACCCTTTCAAAGAGCAACTGAATTTTATATTCTTAATATACAGAAACACACAAATTTAAAAATAAAAATCACACAACCAAACCACACTGGCCTGGGAATGCCTCAGGATCCCAGTCAGAGCTGGTTAATGTGGCTCGGGAAAGGGAGGTTTGGGAGTCCCCTGCTGGAGTTGCTGACGCTGCTCACCCGATCCCAGATAAGCAGTTCAAGATGGATGGAAGGACAACCAAAACAATAAAAATGATCTCAGGCTCCGTTAACAAAAATTGCACTAAATATTAAACATTTGGCACAGGAGTATATTGAGAAGTTTTTTGTACTGACACTTTTTGTTGTCACAAAGTCGACATACTGGTTCTTTGACATTAATTGGCTCTCCTCTCTCGTTGGGCTTAAAGCCAAAATGTTCCCACACCAGAGCTAGGGAATGAGGCTTAGAAACAAAGTCCATCTGGAGTAACCTAATCCTACAAAACATTCTGGCTAGAATTATACAGTCTTTGGGAAAAACACCAAATAAAACACCTAACAGCCTCGAGTAACATGTTATCTTCACTCTATGTGTGGAAGCGACTGTCTAAAATCTTGGGGTTCATTCTAACGTAAACCAACACGCATGTAAACACAACAGGCAATATCAAGATCATGTCGATATATTGTACGATAAGTCGATAATGTAATTATCGTGACAGGCCTATCCTCAACACAATGGAGAGGAAATGAGGGCATCTGTACTGGGATGACAGAGATTAAACAATGGCCTTTGCATGTGACAGTTTCCTATAGAAAGCTAGTGGGTGTTTGAGTGGATCCCAAGCGGTTGCTGTGCTCGACAATTGACCCACTTAACCACAAACACGTGCGCACGCACACACACTCTCTCACTCTCTCTCCCCTTTCCATTGAAAACACCTCACTCCGACTCCCCAGCTTCTGTATGCTTTCACTTCACTCCTCTTTCTCCTGGCCTTTTGTCACTGCATACCTCTTCCCTTGACATTCTTCACCTGTCTGGTCCTCTTCTCACACTACAGTTGTTCTTCCCCTCCAGCTCCACAATGCCGGCTAATACAGTTAGACAGAGTGAGCTACAGCGCTCAGAGGTAGTTCTTTATTTGCAATTTGTGTAGGAGACAAACTCAGTAACAGCAGCTTGCCTTGTTGCAGTCCTGAGCTGATGCCTGCCTCCTAAGGAGACTGTGTTCAGGAACCTTTTAATTGTCAGATCCTGGTGGGAGTGCAAATTAATGCTTCATTAAAGTCAGATGTGCTGGAACAGTCTATCGATTAAGCCTGTACATGTTAAAAGCAGGTAGATGTTGTTAGTATGAGTTGTAAGACAAATGTGCAGCCTGTTGTAAGCTATGGGCTGCTTTTCTCCCTCCCAAAAGTTGAATTATTCTGAATTCACATAAGGTATTCTTTTCTTATACTGCAACAGCACATTTACATTAAGTCTGCATTTATGTATTGCTTTCTATTTACCATAACTTCTAAAGTACAGCCTGCTGAAAACAGCCTTTTGACTGACAGTGCTGCTCAAAACCAATTTGTTTTCATCTACACAGTTGAGGTGTGAAACAAACAACTGAAAGATCTTTTTGGAACAAAAGGAGAACAAATAAGAAAAAAAACTTTACCGTGCAGTACACACACCTGAAGAAAAATCCAATGTATCTTCAGGTTTCAGAGAGCCAAATTTAAGACCCTTTATGGCTCCTTTTAAAGCTACCAGAAAATGAGTTTTGGACTCAACAGGTGTTTTTTAAAAATTAAATAAAAAAGATGCAAAAAAGACGAAGCCCTTTCTGTTTGAAGATGGCTAATGAAAGCATAAAAAATTAGAAAAAGGCAGAAAAAGAAAAAAGAATACAAACAAAAAATTATTAAGATGTTAAGTTAATTTGTGCACAGATTTTACATTTTGTACTACAAACTACCCTTCTACTTACAAGGGATTTATTTTATGGTCATTTTACAATACAAGGTTGCCTTCATGCCACACACACACACACACGCCAGAGAAAACTATTAACTTTGAAGGAGCGGTGTGGGTGAATTTAAAAGTCTCCCAGCTTGGGGAAAGAAGCTACTGTGGAGCCGGCTGGTACGGCAGTGGATACTTCTGTATCTCTTTAATTCTCAGAATGGAAATACAGCGACACAACTGGGAGGAAGAAAGTAGTCTGTCATTTTTATTAGTCATTCTTCCTAAAGCTAGCTCAGAGGCATCTGGTGATTAACCTCTAGATGTCCTCCATTAAACAAATGCAGACAATAATTGGAACAAGGTGTACTTCTACACCATCGATGAACCACCAGCAATCAGCTTTCAGAGGGAACGTTTTAGACTACAAATCCTAATTAGAAAGTAATGGCCTTTGAGTACTTAACAGGTTCTGTCAGGACACCATCGGCCTGTCTTTTAATCCCTTCTCTCCTCAGTGTGGAGGAACTCCTGAAGAACAGTTTTCTTCCTTTCTCTCGTTATCTGTAGATGGGATGTTTTGAGAAATGACAATGTCATTCTGATCTTTGCTCTTCTCATTTCTGGGGGTGGTACACAGTAATAGTCCTTCTCTACTCCTTTCTCCATCCCCCTCTTTCCCCATATATCCATCTCGATCAATTTATCTATTCGTAAGTTGCCTGCCACTACAACCACCTGACTATTTTCTCTACATAGTGATTATACACTGCCCAAACCCTCTCTTCTACTTTCATAACCCCAATTCTCCTTCCATGCCCCTGTCCCTCCCTCCACAGTGTGTGATAATACAGACCTAATCCCTCTCTTCTTTCAATCCCTCTGTCGAATGAAAGAAAGGATATAAGCACATTACAGATCTCATTACTAGGCTTTAGGTATGCCTCTGTGCGTGCCTGTGCTGCATACGACTACCACATCGGCTGCTTACAGAAGGTAAGTGGGAGCATGTACACAGAGAGTGTCTGCCTACAGTGTACCTGCTCAATACAGTACAATTCTGTTCCAGTTAGTGTGATTTGCAGGTGTACATACGTGTGTGTTGGCTTCCCTGCAATAGGAGGGGCAGGCAATGATAGTTTAACACATGATTAGCATAAGTAGACAAGTGGGGGTTAAGCACAGAGAAAGTCACATGCAGATGTACACACACACACTCTGCAGATTATCCTGTATCTATTCTTCTCCATTCCATTCAACTGTGCGTGGTTTTTAGATGTCAGATTTGATTAGTTATGCCTGATTATGAGTCACATTATTTCGTTATAAATTCGTGTTTACCGGCCATGCTGGGGTGTGTGCTGAGGCAGAACAGGCAGCTGATAAACATGTCAGATTGATACAGCTGATTATTTTGTTGCTGTCAAAAGGAGCAGCTGCTTAAATTCATGCCAGTTTGAACCCCTAACAAAAATAAACCTGGGAGCGCAGCGGGAAAGGACAGAAAGTGCATCGTTGCAAAAAGACCACAGACACAGGCAGTGACATCATGTGAAATAAGCCCATTTTTGTTGATATTTAATTGTAAGACTGAGCACATCTAATCACCATTTTAAAATAAGAATTTCATCCATATTCCATCCTTAGTTTAAACTTTCCAAATTCACTAAGACACTATTGTTAGTATGGGGGTAAAAAAAACAACAACTAAGAGCTCAACTCCAGAGACTAAGTGGCTCAACATGCTCACCAAAGAGCCCAGCTTGGCCGTTGGCCTTCCTGCAAGACTCCAGGGGTGCTGGTGCAAAGCAGGGTGAGAGAAGCACAAGACTTCTGTCTTCACAAACAATGAACTGCACCCTCTTACCGCTGTACTCACAGCTCAGCGGAGCACTTTGGGCCAAAGCCCCTTTCCTCCCCGAGTGCTAAACTGAGCCATTTAGGAAGGCCTTTCCGCCTACAGCTATCAGACTGTTCGACAGCCCATTTGTCATTCGGTGGGTGCTTTTATCCAAAGTGCCCTACGGATGCACAAGTGTTTACATTTTTAGCATGGAGCTGAAATGAAACTCCTAACCCTTGCAGTGGCAGTGCCAGGCTAAATTAGTCCAAATGTAATAAATGCAATAAGTATGATGAAGTGTGACGTTATCATGCAAACAGCCAATGACATTTTCTAGTGACCGCACTTTTTTTAAAACAAATTTTATATAGTTAAATTATAGTACCCAGATCTCGTTGACACATTGCCCTACACACAGGAGTACACTATGAAACCACAGGTTTTTCAACCATTTCATTGCTAAAAACAGTGTGAAATCTTCTTTTGACTGTTGAATGAAAAAGTCGACTTGCACTGTGATTGGCTGAATTGCATTTTGTTGACATACCCATGGTGACAGGGGGGATGACAGGGTCTGTGGAGGAAGGCTTAGCCTTGACTGGGATCGGTGTGGTTGGTCCATTTACCATCACATGACCTGGACATGAGTATACAAATACAGAATACAAGTCAGATGCAGTCCTGTTACAGATCTAACATCCTGTAAAGTCAAGAAAGAAAAGGAGCTAAATCAATGAAGGTTATAAAACAGCAGCCCTGAGGCTAGTTAGGGTTATGACCACCTGTTTATATAGAGCAGGGGTTTCCTCCTTTGTGTCTTCCATTTGTGAGTATTCAGTACAACACATCTTTAATGGCATTCCTAAAGCTGATCTGAGTGAAGTGAATCATTATTATGTTTGTTGTTTATCTATAGCATTGATTCTCCACTGCTTTCCCCTAAGGGTCGGTGGAAGGCAGAGATGACCTAAGGTCTACCGTGGTTACACTGCAGATCCACAGTTATTTTAATCATAGCATTCATATCTATGTGTAGCTTGGTCCTCATAAAATAGCTTCCCTTCATTCTAAGAAATCTTGATTTTCCAGACCGTATCTCACAGTTAGCACTTAAAAGGGAATGCATATCCTAGCTTTGAGTTTGGTATATACACCATAGAGCAGTGGTACAATTTTCTGTCCATCGTTTTAACCAGTTCAGCACTTTTCCCCCTCTCTGGTTTTTAAATCACCCAACTATGATATCCCAAATTTCAAGTTTTATTATAGGATTTCTTATTAGATGGATTACAGGTCCAGTTAGGCCCCTCTCTCTTTTTTCCCACCAAAGCGAGACCAATTAGATTTGGCATTAGAGCTGAAATTGCCATGGTCGGCACAGTTGTTACAGCTTGTTACCTCCTCGTTAAAAACTTTTGCTCACTAAAAGCCTTTGAAAGCTACAATCATAAAATGATAGCGGATAGGTGGTTGCTGAGATGAGATTGACCTTAAAATCAGCGCTGACTGTATACAGGCCTCGTTTTAATGCAACAGTTTGAACCAGCAACATACTGAACTTACTACTGAATATAAGACAGTCAGCAACAACGCTGCAATGTCACATTTAAACGATGATGTGGCCGAAATATGAATTATATAGTGAATATTTGAACTGAACAGTAAAAACAATTTTATTCTATATATTTAAATTGATTTGTAATTTCCATTTCGCTGTTGCGTGTTTGTGTGCTGTTTATACACTGACCCAGGTAGTGCAGCAGCTTCTGGGCACGGTTCTGAGTGGGTTTGAGGTTGAAGAGTTCCTGGTTCTCGTCGATGAACTGCGTATCCACGGTGGAGTGGAGGAACTGGTGGTTGGAAAAAACATTCTGAAGGAACGGGATGTTGGTCTAGAGATGGAGAGACAGATGGACAAACCGAGAAGGAGACTTTTAATTTGCTGTCTTTCATGGACACTTTACTCAAAGGGTTCGGAAAAACACCTCTTGCACATATTGAAGTAAATGTAACCCCACGCACACAGTAAACAGAAGCAAGAGAGTCGAGACAACAATCACTCAGCTCAAGTGTCATTCTGCAAATGAATCACTTCAAAGAAAAAGAAAGCAGTTCTTTTGAAGAGAAACAGACATTTGTGACAGTGCACACAAAGCGTACCTACTTACCTGTTAACACACAAACAGTGGCATCACAAAAATAGCACACAAATAACAGTATGCAAAACAAAATCTCAGCTTCAACAGACAAACACATGCGAGGCAGAGGGAGAAAGTCAACTGTTGAAAGTAATTACATTTGTTTGTTTGCCTCAAAAGTATTATCACGCCAATTAAGCTCTCTTAATTAACAAAGAGGGGAAGACTGAATGGGAGAGAGGAAAGAGATGTAATTGTTGGAGTTAATTTCATTAGTTGATTTTTTTCATTCTTGTGAGTATCAACAATGTGGGTACACCTCTCTGAATTGTGTTAAAGGGCGGAGAAAGTGAAAGACGAGGGAGACTGGCAGAAAAAGGAAGGGGAGAGAGATTAGAAAAAGGAAAAGGAAAAAGGGGGTGGGGGGTGTTTGAGGGTTAGAGCGAAAGGAAGATATGTTATATCTTCCTGGAGCAGCTTTAGATGTGTTCATTGCTGTGTCCTGAAGGGAGGGTAGGAAGTGAAGGAAACTGTGTGCAAAGATTATTTCTCAAAGTTTCCTGAACTTGTTTTTGCATCTTAACTGGCATTTAAAAAGAAGAAAACCCCTGCCACTCATGACCCAGCTGATCCAAGTATCCCTTTTATTTTTAACGCCACCTAGAAACACACAATCAGAGCTCAGAACCAAGAGAGAGAAACCGAGACCCCAAAGACCTCCTGGGTATTGGCTGTAAAGCAGCTCACTCTAAAAACAGAAATTTAAAATCCGTCTCACTGTTAATATAGATCGTCCACAAATAAATGTGTGTATACGCACACTCAAAACATTACCCATAGATGGACAGAATTTATAACAATTTTTTTTTTAACAATTTGACTGTTTATCTGACAGTCAAGCCCAGAGTGACTTGAAATAATTGCTGCAGCACAGTCACTCAGGAATCCCATAATTGGGAGAAGAGAGCTAAGCAATAAACAAACCACACACAGACACACAACTCATTACCAGCACTGAGGAAGAGGAAGATGTAGCGTAGAGATCAATGTGCTCAGGCAAATAAAGAGCATGTTGGTCATGCCTATAGAGCCAAAATTAAATGTATACAGTAATAATTGAAACCAGAGGGAGCATCATTTACATCTACATTTGTCATTAGGGGTACAGAGAAGAAAGAAATTCACAACAGACTACAGAAAAAAAAATAAAAATATATAATATAGAGAGAAAGAAAGTCACAGCAGAGAAATGATGTCTGCTTTGTCAAAGCACATAACCAATATAGCCTTAATATTGAGAAATTAAAATGTAGACAAGACTGCGTACATTTTTCCAGGCATTCTATTAACACCGAGGTGAGAGGATTAAATTTTTTGAGCTACCCGATCAAATGCACACAAAATGACACTGTATTCTCAGCCTCCTGCTAAAGGGAGGAGAGCTGGACAGGAGAAAGACGAGAGATGGGGGATTCACATAGCTGTGCTGCACTGCCAAGCCTTGGGCTACAAGCTGTGGACCAAAACAAAGGGATTTCTGCCGAATCCTATAACTGCAATATGACTTTAGAAACCTGTGGACTGCTTATTTTCTTCCATTTATAGTATCTGCCAACATAACTGTATCAAAATATCTGCAGCTGCCTCACACACCAGTATCCTTGAGGAGAATGAAATGGACTGTACTGTAATATAGCGCCTTGCTGCTTCCGACCACTCAAAAGCTCCTTACACTACACATTTATATACTGATGGCAGAAGCTAAGCCGACAACGCCTCATCAGAAACAGAAACTAGATCTTAGGCACCGATGGCACAGCCAGCAGGGGATCGTACAGCCGATCTTCTGATTAGTGGCCAACTCTCTCAACCTCCGCTCATGAGCCACAACAGCCATACGTCTGGATACAGTCATGTACATTCTATTAGGGATGAAACGGGCTCATTGCAGTTACTATCACTGTCTTGTAATTGTCCATGAGGTCATTGTATTACCTACATAATATAAAATCTTGATAATGCACACTTAGATGATTTTCATGTTTACAAAAGGTATTTGCTGTGTATTTTTTATGCAAACAAAATGGCAATTGTATTTGTAGTTTTCAACATAAAACATGTTGAAATGGTTTCAGTGTGTGTATCAGTACAAGCTGGTCAGGTCTGAATATAATCGGTTAAAACACTTGCTAACAACACAAGCAAGTTATTGGCTGAAGAACCTTCATTTTATTTTATTAAGCAGTGGAAAGAATGTTTAACATTTTGTGCCGAGTTAGATGAGAATTTATGTAAATAGTAAATCATAAATGGTAATCATCATTTTCCCCATATGCACAGCCACAAAGAAAGGGTCAAAGGTTGAAAAGGAGCACAATTAAGTACAAGATAAGAGAAAAATGTGAAAATAAAAGAAAATCATTTTGATTTGTATATATTATTTGGTTCTTTTGATAGCTTTTTTTGCTTGATTTTGAATGGGCCTTGAGACATTTTGTTTCACCTGCACAAGTTTGGAATTTCCCCTCATTTTTCTGTTTGATGTCATCTTCGTCTATAATTTATATGTGTAAACAAATTTAATAAGCAAGCACAAGGGGGAAAAGGCAATCACAAGCTATGAATAAAATAAAAACATGGAGTGGCAGAGACAAGGAATGAGACAAATAACGCAGACAGCCGCTATTAATGACAAACTAAAAAATAATGGAGGGGGAAGATTTCCATTAATACATGGAGGTTGGTCCTTTTCTCTCTGCTGTAACAGATCAATGTGTTCATTATCAGGCTGCTCTGTATGCCTGTGGCTACCGCACACACATACGCCGCCCCCCCCCCCACCCCCCCGTCCCTTCACTCTTTCTCCTCGTTTCCCCTAATGATGTGAAATACACTGTAAAAAGGCCCACACACACAAACTTTCTCCCTTTCCACCGCTCAGTATCTTTTCTTCATTTTTCTCTTAGTCTTCATCCTGATCTCGCTCTCACACTCACACACACTCACCAAAAGGCTACTCCCTGATTTGGATGCCCTATAACAACTGCTTGGCTACAGCTCTCAGAGCTATGCACACAGCATGCAAAACACATACACGCACTTGTGACTCCTGCTCCCAATGCTTTTCAGATTGTGAACACAATCACATACATAAACCTTTGAGTACTGTATTAGTTTTAGTTGGAAAGTAAACAATGCGAATTAATGCTTGCCCAGGCTCTCTATGAATACTTTAAACACACACACTCGCTTAGTATCAGATCCCCACTATCCCCACTTTTATTCTCATAGCGTTCTGTTTATCACCAGAAAAGTCTGTTTTATTGCTCCTCTGCTCACAGCTGGTCGTTATCGCTCTTGTTGCAATCAGCTCCACTGGTGATTGCAAAAGCAACACAGTGGTGTTAAGTGTTGTAAGGTAAGTCATCTCAACACCACCACAAAACAGCTGGTTTCAGGAAGTTAAAAGTTCTGCGTTTCACTTTATTTTAAACAAATAAGAACTCATTAGCAAATGTGCTGAAATACTAACATTGTTTCTTGCAATTGTTTGCTTCAGGTGGAGTGCCAAAGTTGACATCCAACATTCAGACGTCAATGTAGACAGAATTTACACCTGACAGTAAAATGCAGTCTGAATATCCTGGGGGGAGAAAAAACAAACCTGCTATTTTACGTATTCTCGTTGTCTACAATCTGTCTGGAGCGGATCTACACAAATCAGGCGAGTGGGTGATGGTCACAAAAAAAAAGTCCAGGCTGCTCCTAAATTTTCTGTGTCTAACATTTACAACTTCAGGGGAGTATGGAAACTAAGTCATGTTTGGAGCTGCTCTGCACACGGGGGCATAAGCTCTCGCTAATGTAAACCAGTGTTATATTTCATAGGTCTGAATTCACGTTACTGACACTAATCTGGACTCCAGTCCACACACATAGTTGTGCAACTCCCTTTACTCCTGCAACCTGTAAGGACGGCAATCTGAGGTAGGAGGAGGAAAATAATAATACTAATTCCATCTTCCCACACAACCTCAATTTCTCATTGGCGAGTTGATATTAGAGACTTTTGGGATGACTCTTGAGAGACCGTGGTCAAGGTCTAATGCGACGCTGAATCATTGGGGCCACAGCTCTCTGAACTCGGTGCAGTGAGTTAAAGATGGAGGGCTCTATTTTTGTGAAACCTGCAGCACGACAGATGACTTTAAATTGAATTTACACGTTTTCTGGAATTTTATGGGATTTTATTTCTCATCAAAATGATCCATATAATAATAATCTACAGTTAAATACCACTGTAGTGCCATATATGCAGTGAAAACAGCATTTAAAATGTGGTCTATTTTTCATGTAGTATTTTGTTATTTCTGAAATTATATAACAGAATTACAGAATTATAAAAGTGTAATTTAGTTAGATCTGGCTGCTTTAAATGAAAAAAAGGATTGCTGGCAATCTCGGAACAAAAATATGCCTACTTAATATTCATATTACCACATGACTGTGATCCTGGTAATGATCATCAAATTAGGAATAGGATTTAGGATTTTTAAAACACTCTGTTCCTGGGAACAGAACTATAAAATTGAAACCGAATAATCTCTCTCATATCATGTCGCTCACCACAGCCACAACCGACACTTCGGCCAGACTCGTTACAAAGAAGATGACGCATTGACAACATTACTCCAATTAGAGACAGCAGATGGACCTTGTGGCAAAAATAGTGCAAGTTGCTCTGGAAAATCTTA